TATACAATTCAACTTAGTTTACATTATATTTAATTCAGTACGTATTACAATTACATGGAATAGAACTATTTAATTATCCGCTTTTAAAACAAGAATAGATATGGGTTACCCCCATATCCAAGATATTCGACTTTCAATTTATTCGAATTTTCATTGTGCTCAGATGATTTCTCATAAAAAAACAAGTATTTACTGACAAATCGATACTCAAGCTGTAGAAAGTTAACTATAAAAGTGCCATAAATATCCTAAAGTGACATAATATTTAGGCTACTGAGTTTCAACATCTTTTGTTGAATAAAAATATGCATGTACTAGGAAACAAACTGCATGAACATATAACGTTACATGCATGTAGTGACTTTATCACAAAGTTGCACATGCCTAAAAATAGTTTTAATTTCACATAGAACATAGACTAAATATAGTTAATAGTATAATTTTAAAAATGTATTTAACACCTCACTCATTTTCAGGAATATTTAATCCAAACAGCATGTTACAGGCCTGTAGCAACGTTTTCAAAGTGAAGGGGGGGGGGGGGGGCTCCGAAAAAATCCCGCGTACTATGGGCCTGTGCTACATGTGTACCATCTAACTTTCCAAATTATAGAATCTTCTGTAAACAAGTCCAAGCCGCTATGGATTATCAAAGATAGCCCAATTTTTTTTTTTTAAATAGCAGAACTATAGATCTATCAAGGATATATTTTAATTTCTTTTTTAATTTTGTGCTATTTAAGTACAATCACTCAAAGTAAAGGCAGATGTTAAAGATGGGTCAACCTGTCACCTTTTAGAGTAATCAATGAACTCGTCCAGAGACGGCCGTTGTTAAACACAAAGGAAAGCTCGAGATCGGTTGCGGCTGTGGAGCATCACTGAATATTCCTTCGTCATAAAATAGAATCCGACATTTAACACTTAATATAGATTTTGATAATGCAGACGTTTTGAAGATAAACTTCATTTTTGTTTCTAGAAATGTTTTTCTTTACAGAAATAGTATATTTCCAGTTTTTAAACTGAGTAGATCGATGACCTAGCATCGTTTTTAAATAGATAACTCAGCCCCTCTAGCCCAGTCTAGGGCTTGAGTAAAAAAAACCTGCACTTGTTATGAAACTGGTGTATAGTTCTAAACTTCTTCATGTCTGTAGAAAATTCTGATACCAGTCTACATGATCTTAGCGTCACAAGCGAACGGTGTACACAACTGTGCTTGCAAGACCGAATAGCCTAGGTCTACACACGTGCGAAGATCCTTACCGACGAAGTCCGGAAAATCACGTTACTGTGCAGAGAAGTTAATACGATTGCAGGTGTTTAACCAAAATAACCATTCCGTTATTTAAAAAAAAGAAAGAAAAAAACCCACAGTTAATGATTAACATTCTCACTCAAAAGAAATATACGGCAATTAACGAACAATAATCATGACAGTAATATAATTGGTGAAAAGATTTATCATTATCAATCGAAGTATGACCTATATATTTTCGTGAAAAAGACTGAGGAGGCAGCGAGCGTAGGAATATGAAAACTTTTTATTTGCTTTTCTGGGGAAAAAGTGATTTTCTTAAAAACTTTTACGTTAATTTTGTTTTCTTCAACGTATTAAATATACATCATTATTCTTCACATTTGGTGTAATGTTGTATCTACTGATCATCAATGGAACTATTTTCTTCGGAGCAATTGTGTGAAGAGTACCTGACTTTAGTTATATATCTTGAATAGATAATATGCACTGATCGAATATATTAAAAAAATTAAATAAGAAATTATTACGAACGAATATCATAAAATAATATAGAAAATGTTGTGAAATTGGTGTAAAGGATAGTTGTTAAACATTATTTCAATCTCTGGTACCGTATGTATGAATTAAGTTGTCCGTCAAAAAGGCTACATATTATGTATCTCCCGCTCGTTTTGATCATTATATTTGAACTTTATGGTCTACTTCACAGGTCAACTTGAATATAAAAATGGCTGCTCTCAGCGGAAATGATGACCGGAAATAACGATGTTTCGTAATCGGTAAATTCCGTAAGGAATAAAAAAATGATTCTGATAATTAAATTGAACATCGTTTTTTTCTAACATAATTTTAGGTTTGTTCAATTGATTCAAGATATTTAAAACCATGTAAACATGTTTTCTCTAACTGTTCCGATCTCAACATCGGTAATTTTCGTATATATGACACAATATGATTGGTCAGATTTTAAAACTCTTCCGTACTGTTCTCTGATTGGTCAACAATATTTCACCCACGCCATTTTGAAAATTCTTCCGGGGACGTGTTGAGAAAGCTGGAGGTGATTTTGAATAAACTCTCATTTGCTCGCGAGTAAAATGGATTGAAAAACAGAAGTTCAGCATAATCATGGTACACAGGATCATATATATGAACCAAGGAAAGCAAATACATAAGGAGACTGACGTTTTTTAGGCATCATATCTGGACTTTTCTGGTGTAAACAACGACAGTTGCGGTAAGATTATGTATATTTTAGCACATTAAAGTTTCATTTTTTTAAATAATAACTTAGTAAAAAGATAGAGGAACAAAGAATGCCTTTTTTTACCCATTTTGTAGTATTGTAGAAAGATAAAATAGTACGGTTATTGGCCATGTGGGGAACAAGGGTTTTTGTGATAAATTCTGATTGGGGAGAGAGGGGTGGAAGATGGGGGTAATTTTCAAGCCTTTGGCTTCCTAGTTCTATTTCATTCCAATTTTTTCAAGTTTACCATAGATGAATTATTTATTTTCCCTTCAAAAACAATTCTGAAATTTGTATAAACTCAATTTTTTTTTGGGGGGGGGGGTAGGTTGGGTTCGGGGGGGGCAGTTTATTTAAATAACATTGGGGCACACATTTTGTTTACTCTTTCAACATTTTCAAGGACAGATTGTTTATTACAAATATTTTTTTAAAAATATTTTATAAATCAGTCCCCCCCCCCCTTTTTCTTCTCCAGATTGTCAAATCAAATGGTTGTCCCCTAAGAAACCCCAGATTAAAGAAAAGTAATTTCAATGGTACAATTGTACGGAATTTGGTGAACTCCGCTGGATCTTTTGGAATTTCAATTTATAGTTATTGATAATTTTAGTCAGCAGAACATTGAAGAAAAGCTGATTAGTCATGGAGGAAGAAGTCTGAAGATCCCTCTCAAGAAAGTATTGCAGGTGTGTGAGCTAAACAAAATCTATATAGAATTATTTTGGATGTGAAAATGTGTATTTTGTTGAGGTAATGGTTCATTAAATTTTATTATTATATCATTCTGTTCTATATTTCACAGTGATGAAATCAGATGAGATGACAGGTTGTGTGATTTAAAGATGGACTTCTGCACAAAGTAAACACTCCTCCACCTTTTCCATACAAAAGAAACAGCAAAGCAGAGAGATCGAAACATTTGGTAAAAGTACAAAGAAAACAGGATTAGTTAAACTTGTGAAAAAGATCAAGACTATTGAAGAGCAGATTATATGTAAGAAGAAAGATCAAGACTACAATTGGTAGCTGAATCAGTAGCCTGGCCACATTAATTACTTTTTAATTAGCTATTTGTACATTTAAGGTAATCTGACTGAGTTACTAAAATTGTTATTTAACAAATATTTCAAATAAATAAAAGATTTTTGAATAACAATCAATAGATGCTATTAAGAACCTCAATCTCCAACCCCTTTTCTTCAAATAACAATTTTTGCCCATGATCATTTTTGTAGTTTTTAAAACTCTGTTTTGTATTATTTTAAGCATTTAAATGTATTTTTTGTCTATCATTATTGTACTTTTTTGATATTTTTGAAATACAATCCTTCATGCTGATAAAAATACAAAAACAATACATATTAATACAAAATTAATACATTCTATATTTTTTTCATACTTTTTTGTGTACTGTATTATTTTCATATTTTATATCTTTTTTGTACTTTTAATTGTTCCAGATGAAAAAATACAAAAATAATATATGTGATACAAAATTAATATATTCTATATTTTTTTTGTATTTTAATTCTTAAAGGTGAAAAAATACAAAAATAATATATGCTAATACAAAATTAATACATTCTGTATTTTTTCTATACTTTTCTATGGTCTGTATTATTTTTATACTTTGGAGAGGAAAACAGAGAAATAATACAAAAGTACAAAAACAATACATTTTTACAGGTCATGTGTATCATTTCTGTATTATTTCGAAAAAATAAAGTATATTAAAAATATATTTTTCTGTGTTTGGCTTTTAAAAAGTCTATTATTTTTGACCTAAATTGGAACCAAGATTTAGAGGGTTCCAAATTTGGTCATTAAAAATATACTTTTTTTGTATTATTTTAGTATTTTTTTCTTGTATTATTTTTGTATTTATTTTCGATATGGGATAGCAAGGTCAACTTGCTTGACAATGGGTGATATTCAAAAAAATGTTGATTGGGCAGAATTTGTACGTATTTGTATAAAATGTTCAGTATATAATGTTACTCTCAGCTACATGCAATATTTATGTAACAACTCCCCCTAAAAACAAGGTAATGTTCCATCATCTACCTGCAGGGTGGTGCAGTGGTTAGAGAGTCTGCTCTAGAGTTGCGAAGTAAGGAGTTGATCCTTATGTCGCGGGTTCAAATCCCACTGGGGGACGTGGAGACCGGTCCTTCGGATGAGACCGTATAAACCGAGGTCCCACGTCGGAGTAGGTGCCGATACGAAAAAGATCCCTCACTGCTCAATGGCCATAAGTGCCGAGCATAGGACAAAATTTGCAGCTCTCCACCGGCAAGTGGTGGCATCTCCGTAAGAGTGAAAAATTCTCGAGAGGGACGTTAACAAAATACAATCAATCAATCTACCTGCAGGGGAGATCTGTGTCCTTGCCAACTCAAAAGCAGCATGTAATAACATCACCATGCAACTCTGTTATAAAGGGGATAATAATTCCTTTAGTTATAAAACAATCTGAAAACAAAATGTAAATAAACTATATTTATTGGTGAAACATCCATTCATTCAACAAACTATGCCTCCTTGAGACAATTATCAACAATCTAAAAATAACCAGAAGTCTCTGTCAAGACTGTAGCAGTTCTTGTATGGACTAAAGTCTTTGTAAAAAGGGAATATGCAATCATAAACTCACTAAATTTCTTTTATTTCCCATAAATTGTAAACATTTTAAAAATAACAGCAGTAACACCATTCTTCAACATTAAAAGAGGGTATAAACTGAATATTACAGGGTAAATGGATTTGTATCTGTGGACATTTTGAACAAGTTGGGTTATTAAATACTTCAGCTTGTGACTACATGCATTTTAAAACCCAACAAATGTGAATTCATGTATTTATAATACAACTGAAAAACTTTGAGTACCGGTACATTCCTGAAATATTTCAAGTGTCTATTTTATCTCACTTTATTTCTACATAAACAATTGAAGTACATGTATCATTATTGGCCATGCTGACCCTCCATAGCCTGATAGAAATTACCCAACATTCCACATCCTGTCAAATGTAGCATTTTGATTATCAATGTGAATCTGAAAATTTAAAAAAATTGGTTGAAACATGTATCTTCTGCCAGCTCATATAAAAAAGATTATAATAATTGTTTCATATATGTAGATACTTGTGTATTGATATAAAATCTTGATGTACTGCATATGTATCAGGTTTAATTCAAACTGAACATAAATTGTAGGAGGTGTTTTATTTTTAAAAATTGTATTCAAACAGGCAGATGCCATACATATAACATGCATATGCATAAGCTCCTCCAGTCAAATAAAAATATGAAATTCTATATAATATATTGTAAACTCCATGACAAATAACTCATGACCATATGATCTGATTAAATGTTAAAATAATCATGTTCAGGTAAAATTTTTGCTGCATGCAGTCAAAGTAGTTGAGCAATTATAAAATAAAGATTTGGAGAACATCTACATGTATAACTCATGAGAAAAAAAAATCGCAGAAACAGTGCCATCATGTATATTTATAGAGCACTTGTCTTTTGACATAAGTCAGTTTGTTTGAATATGATTGGTAAGTTTAAAATTTACATTTAACTGACTTTAAATTGAAGTTTGATCACAATTGTTTTGAAAGCTCACTGACATACAACTGTTTCAGAGAAATTGGCACAACATAAAATATAACGTGTACATGTTTTGCTTGTCCTCAAATACATTAAATAAAACTATTCAGTGTAAAATAACAATGTCTATATGGCCATCCATAATCTATGGACAGCCACATAGAAAATATAAATATGACATAAATATATATCACAGTCCAATGACATTCTATTATATAGAAAAAAAAATCTACAGTTTTACAACAAATCGTGGTTATACAAAAATACCTCATGATAATGGCATTTAATTCAATGTAACATCATTGTTCATGACAAAAAAAATTGTCAGATTGCATATCATTTTTATGCCCATAATTTCAGAATAATCCCATTATTTCAAAATGATCAACAATGTGACTTGGCATGCACAGCAATTTCTGCTACCTTTGACATTTAATCATTATAAATCAGGTGACACTGTCAATATCATTTTGAGTGGAATTAAACAGTCAGTTTATTAAAGGAGTATCAATATCGTCGACTTTCCTTCAGTTGGAGACGAATTGAAGAGGAAGATTCTGAGAAAGCATTGCTGCTATTGATGCTAAAGTCTCTTTGGTATGACCTGCGAATGCTACGATCCTCAAATCTACAAGAGTAAAATATCGTATGTCACAATCAAATATTATCTATTGAAATAAAACAGAACATTTTCAGATTAAATTGAGAAAAAAAAAATTCAGTCTTTATATTGGTCACTGAAATCATATTTCAACCATCACCACATTGTGGTTAAGTGTGCTACAACAGAACAAAAATATACTTGTTACACTGGAAATGGTAAATAGACAGTTATTTGTATTTAAAATGTTATGTGTGAGCTATTACATACTCATAATACAGTGCTCAAGTAAAAAAAATAATAAAAAATCTAAAATATCGAAGTAATATTAAAGATGGAAGACTGCCGTACACATTGCTCACTACTCACCAGGCATTTTTGTCCAGGTCTGTGCGACTACACTAGGTTATTACATATATTACTCTTATAAAGTTGGTGGAGTTTCAAGTCTATGTATTTGTCTTAATTTTTAAAAATTATGCATTAATTTAACATGCACACATAACCTTTGTTATAAAAGCTCATAAAATGTAGGTAAAAATAAAAGTTAAAAAATAAACTGTCAATCGTATAGGTGACGAAACAAACTTCGATCTGAAAAGATGAGTATGCAAAAGAAAAAAAAGGAAGAGAAGTGATGTTTCTACCAAAGTTTTATATCGGGACTCAAGATTTCATAGACATGTTATGATTTTTTAGTTAACAAGGATAAATATGGTACATCAATTTGTGTAACAGGAACTACAAGAAAGAAAGGTACCCATTCCAACAAAATACACCATTTTAAGGAGGAGAGGTTTATGTTCAACAAAATAGCTATGATGTACGGAGAACTGGCCTCCTGCTAGAAATTTTACCTGTCAGTGTTTTGAGTAAGAGAAGGTTGCTGGCTTAACTCTAGAAAACCTATATAGAAGTATATAGATACCAGTAAGTAGTCACATATCTCAGTTGTCTCCCTTGAAAATGCATTCACTTTACAAGATCCTTTTTTCATAAGTTGTAAGTAATGCCCAATCATGATATGAATAATATCTAAATAAATATTATTTCTTTCACCATAAGAGTTCATTATTCCATATACCAAAGAAAAATTCCTAAATCCACATTCCAAAGTAAAATTAAAACCCAAACCCTTATATTCAGAGGTGAATTTTCCCCTTCCAACAGTTTCCCCAAATACTTTTAATTTAAACATTGAATTTATACCTCAAAAATAGTCATCACATCTGGTTTTACTACAAATTACAAAATCCTCGATTGCTTTCAATGTGATAGAAAGATTTTTTATATCAAATTATACATCTGAAAATTTTCAGCTAATTTTTAAATCTTTAGCATGCAAAAAAGGAAATTAACTCATTTACCGATATCCTCCCCCTTCATTGGGAGGGTCAGTGTTTGATCTTTCTGCCTGCCGGTCTCGGATGCTGAATCGCCCTGGCTTAGGTACTATACTACTGCTGGGTTTAGCACTGATTACATTAATTAACTTGTAGTAATCTAGAAAAGTTCTTGCTAGATTTCTGCCAAGTTTCATATCTGAAATTTGGTTAAGAAAACTAATTTAACTTTGCAAAACATTTGAGTTTTATGTTTAATAAAAAGAGTAATTCTAAGAAGAACAGCAAGGATACAAAAAGAAATGTAGAATCTAATTAATATGTCCCTACATGACAAGGCTGAGGTCACAATTTGGGAGGGGGATATCAAACCTTATCACTGTAATGCCCTTGTTCCTTTCAGAGGTATAAATTGTGTACAACAAACAAACAAAAAGCCAATGGGCCATTGTGAATGCTCATGAGCGCTATGGCCCTGTTGTTCTTAATCAGATTTTCCAATATATACCTATGTAAAACATTGATCTCCTATTGGCCCCACCCTATCCCTAGGGGCCATGATTTGAACAAACTTGAATCTACACTATCTGAGGATGCTTACATATTAATATGACTGATCAGGACTTTACTGTTTTTGAGAAAAAGATTTTTAAAGATTAATTCCTTTATATTCCTTTGTAAATTTGATTACCTACTGTGGCCTGACCCTATCCCCTGGGGTCATGATTTGAACAAACTTGAATCTACACTACCTGAGGATGCTTACAAATAACATGTAATATGACTGATCAGGAATTTACTGTTCTTGAGAGGATTTTCAAAGTTTTTTATTTTACATATTCCTATGTAAAATTTTGATCACCTAATGTGCCCCCTCCCTACTCTCAGGGGGTCATGATTTTCATGTCATGTCAACGAACTTCAATGTACTCTACCTGAAGATGCTTCTAAATTAATATGACAAATTAGAACTTACATGTTCTTGAGAAGTTTTTTTAAAGATTAAGTCAGATTTTTGTATATTCCTATGTAAAACTTTCCCCCATTGTAGCCCCACCCTACCCCAATGGTTCATAATTTGGACAAATTTGCACCTGCACTAACCTGAAGATATTCCTTTATCAGTACGACTAATCATAACTTTGTCCTTCTCGAGAAGAAGATTTTAAAAGTTTTTTCTTCTACATATTCCTATGTTAAAAATTTGATCACCTATTTTGGCCTCACCCTATGATTTGAACAAACTTGAATCTACACTACCAGAGGATGCTTACATATGAATATGACTGATCAGGACTTTACTGTCCTATGGAAAAAGATTTTTACTGATTAATTCCTATATGTTCCTTTGTAAATTTGATCACCTACTGTGGCCACACCCTATACCCCAGGGATCACGATTTGAACAAATGTGGTTCTTGAGAAGAAGATTTTTAAAAGATGCCATTAAATTTTCACTAATACTTAATCATCTCCCCTTGAAAGAGGCTGTGGTCCTTAATTTGAACAAACTTGAATCCCCTTTACCCAAGGATGCTTTGTGGAAAGTTCAGTTGAAATTGGTTAAGTAGTTCTTGAGAAGAAATCGAAAATGTGAAAAGTTTACAGACAACAGATGGATGGCGAAGACATCCTTCAATCAAAAAAGTTCACTTGGGCCTTGAGCTCACTTGGCTCAGGTGAACTAAAAACACCCACATCTAGTCTAGATCCAAATAATTGTCTATACACAAATGTTGACTACAAGATGTGCCCTAGCTCAAAGCACTGTGAATAAAGTGTTTTGTTTTGTTTTTTTTTTTTCTTTTCTAATTTTGAACTGTTCAAAAGATTTTTGCACTATTTCTTCTTTACCCAATATATATAATAGAGTTATCTTTCTTTGACTGTATGACTTTTCAAAGGATACATCCTTCCTCAGTGTATGGCAGAGCCTGGCTTGATGCATTGGTCTGATAGCTGAAGAAAGACACTTCTAATGTGTAGCAGTGAGAATTCTCATCCAAACATCCTCCCAGTGTTCTGCAATAATTGTAGAGAAAATAAGAATTTAATTAATTTGCAAACATAAAATAACATTATATTAAACTTAATTTAGAATATTTAAATGCACTTAAGCAAAGCTGCTGGCTGCAATATAAACATTTTATCACTTTAAAAATTTAGTCTCATTTAGCATTTATATAAAGGTGTTAAATCAGTGGACTTGTTTCTTCATGGGCAAGGGAGGTACTTGGAACACTTTGAAGTTAGGACCTAAAAAATATATTGATTAACCTGTTAGTAGATGCCTCACTACCAGTTTTTTTATCAAGTTCTCAATAGTTCAGTTGACTAGTGTGCCAGCACAGTACACTAAACATCCCTAGTTCATGTTCCAGTACTAGTAGAAACTTGGTTTTTTACCAACTCCTGACATTTGATGCTCAGTGCCAGTAAAACCAACTACAGTCAAATTTCGCTATTGTGAACGCAATGGGACCAAGAAACAAGTTCAAGATATCCAAGGATTCGAGATATCAGGGTAAAATACCTTTAGTGTTTGGGACTTCTAAATGACTTCAACATATCCATGGTATTCGAGATACATGTATCAGTGTTCAAGATACCGAAGTTCAACTGTATTCCCTGAGAATATGTTTCATGGCATTTCAGAGTGTTATAACATGAGAGCACTGGTATATGATAACAAGTTAATGGATGCAAGACTTTAATGTAGTCTCAACAGTCTAAGAAAGGTTATCAGAAGAGCAGCTAGCTTCAAGTTTTTCAAAACCTTTGACCTAAAAATGTCTTTGATTAGTCCTTCTTCAATAAACCACAATGTCTACATGTCTATAAACTGAAACTATGTAGTTGACATCATCCATATAAGATTAACTTGGTTGGTTGTTTGGTTAAGCAAAATATATATGAAAACAACTAGATATGTCTTAATGCCAAGAATGCCCTGCAGGCAGCAAAAATTACAAATGCCATATTGTCCCCTGCTTTCACTAAAAGTGGGGGATATTAATTTGGGTCTGACTGTCCATCCGTCCCTCTTTCTGTCTGTCTGTAACACTTTCATCTTTGCATGATATCTTGAGAAGCCTTTGAGCTTTTGCAATGAAATTTTACATAACAACTCCCTATGGCTTAATGAAGACCCCTATTGATTTTGAGGTCAAAAGGTCAAAGGTCAAGGTAATAAATTCTGTCTCTTTTAACACTTTCCTTTCCACATGATATCTCGAGAAGCCTTTGGGCTTTTGCAATGAAACTTTATATCACATCCCTTAGGAAGATCCCTATTGATTTTGAGGTCAAAAGGTCAAGGTCGTTAATTCATACATTCTGTTTGTATTTAACACTTATTATTAGTATGAACACTTATTATCAGTATTAAAAGTCGCATTACACTATTTTTAGCACAGAAGCATGTGGAGAGTTGTTACATATACAGATTGTCGGTGGATTTTGTATTTTAATTACATCTATTAGAACTGTTTAGGTGGGCTAAATTAGATACCATGTGTTGTGTAAATTTTTGACAATATCGAACCTGAAAATATACATGTGTATGTGACCTACTGTTTGCTTTTGATTTGTATAACATGACAAGTGCCTCATTGGTCTAGGGGTAGGATTCTGGCTTTGGATGCGAGAGGTCCGGGTTTCAAATCTCGGATGACCCCGTATTTTTTTTTTTTAAATGTTTTTTCGATTTACTAAATGATAGTATTCAACATATGAAATGAATAAGTTATGACGTCTGGCATGTACAAACCTTCTCATGAACTCATTATTTTATATAAAAAGAATCTTTTGTACACATTTCAAAGAGTAAGCATTCAAATCAGCATTTTTTATTTGCTTCAGCACATTTAATAACTCTGCAAATCCCGGGGGGGGGGGGGGGGGATATTTACAAGCATGATACTAAAATATGTCAATTTTTTTTATTTCTAATCATTAATAACTAAACATACAACAGCAATGCGTAAAAGGCTATGATATACACACTTGCTATATGTCTAAAAATTATCTTAATCCATGAGAGGCCTTCCTTTATTTTAATTGTACATGTATATTGCAAATGATCTTTAATATTTTCCAATTCACCTGTTTACTATATATGAAATACATATATAATCTCAAAAAAAAAGGTAATTCACTGAATGAGCCAAAAATGAATGTAAAATGGCATTGCATTCATGCATGAATTCAATCAAAAATAGAAAAATTACAATACCACAAGCAGACAGATAGACAGACATCTACTAACTTAGATGTAAATTATGCATTCAGTAAAAACAAACAGCTCAAATATCTTATGACCAAATGAGGCATGTACAATTTTTGGGGGGAAACAAACACTAATCTTGAATGACAGTGTCAAAATGTAAATATTCTCAGCAACATTGCATGAGAAACAAACAAGTCTGTATGAAAGCACTCAATGACCTTAGATAAAGATGCATAGTAGATCACGAGAAACTAACGTCAAACATGACGTCACATCCTTTCACTGTGACATCATGTTTCATTCATGAATAATGATAATTGTAGGTAATTAACAAGAGATGCTGGTAGATTAGGAAATCTTGACATATATGTTACCTGCATTACAGGCATGTGAATAGCTCTGGGATGTATTGATAGGTATGGCTCATATTTTAAGAACTATACACTGTACCCATATGCTGGTTTAAAAAAAAAGTGGACTTCCACCCCAATTTCACCAGAAAATAACAAGAACACTATTATCAAGTATATTCAAACCTATTAAAAACATTTTCTAAACATAAACATCACTCCCCCCCCCCCCCCCCCTAAAAAAAAAGAAGTACCAGGTACCTCAAATTAGGATTCAGATGTTACCTAACATTGCATAATTATGTGATAGATATTATGAAATTTACCCAAACATTTAAAGACTTGTGTAAACTTCCTAATGGATAAGTAAAAAGACTATTTCAAGAGAGAATCACACCAACTTTAAAAAAATATGTATTTCAATATTCTAATACGGTCAGACAGTGCAGACAGTATTTGTTTTAATCGCTTCATTCTCTTTTCCTCTAAGTTAAAAGGATGGTCTACTGCAACACTCCTTTGTATTTGTGTAATAATTTCTCCTAGCCAAAAAAAAAAAAAATGGACGTTTAAACTAATCAAGTTGCATGAACATTTTCCAAGAAAAAATTGCTTTTAGCATGTATGCAAACTTGTAAATCGATGTTGCCATTTCAAATATTGGTTTAGCCACAGTGCCTGACAAAAGCATATTGATCAAATCTATGAAAAATCACATTTAAACAGTTTAATAACAGCAATTAAAGCGGAAACTGCAGGAATTTCTGTTCTATTATGTGATACTGTCCATCCTGTGTTACAGTGTGGGTTTACTGGCTAATCAATATCCGATATTAAACCACTGCTTAGTTAGCCCAGTTCTTTGCTGACATGAAACACAGCGAAAAGCAACTATAATTGACACCAAACAATGGTCATAAAGACACCTGTAATTGAAGAATTATAATTTCTACAAATAGAGTCCTTAATCATATTCAAACACAGGCATTTTATGCCCATGTGCCACTGACCTCCTAATACTTTCTCATTGATTATTCTGTATATAGAACACAGAAGATTTCTGGGTGTCCTGCCTGGGTAACAATTTTACAGAATACAAACAAACCCATTAAAACTGTTAGGACTTCTCTGCACTCTCAATCATTTTACTTCTATACTGAATGTACATTTTATTCTTATACAACATATCAAGCAAAATAAAGAAAGTAAATTTTTTGAACAAGGGAATAAAGTGTTTTAACAAAACAATTAGCAGTAATTTGCAATACGATGACATTTTCATTATTTTAAAAAGATGGCTTGTCAAACATGATGCTGTTGGGGTGCCAATCAGTTAACCTTTGACCTCTTACTACCTGGTATGTCCTTTGCCTTACATCAAGCACTGACCTTCACTCTTGACCAATTTGACATTTCTATTTTCAATTATGTTTGATAGTTCTGACCAAGGTTTAATTAACCAGTGTAAACTGACAGACTCTTAACAATATTTCAAGCATCTGATTTTGTGAAAAATGTTTACTTCAGATCTGAGTCCATAGCTGCACTCTGTAAAATATGATTTACTAGACAAATATATACCATTCTAAAGAAGTGTTCAATATCATCCATCATTATACAATGCCTCAAGGATAAAACACAATCTAGACAAATACTTTGGACTATCATGCTAGACCATATCATAAATTATTAAATCCAAGGGAGAACACTTAGAGAATAAAAAAGACCAAAATCATTACTCTTATCTCGTAAAATCTAAGGACTCTTAGTATCGGATGTTCTGGCATCAATTAATGATTACAGGAAAAACATAAAAGTCAATTAGCTTGTTAAAGTTGTTGTAGAAATTGCATCACTATATACAACCAATTTTTGTCTGTGTATCTTAACCAGTGACGTCAATGTAATTCTTTCTGTGGGCTTTTCTCATTATTTATTTATTGTTCTGTCAAAAACAGCATAGTATATCAAGTTTTTGCTTGCGCTTTTTTTCTACCATTCTTTTGGCAAAATTGAACGTGATTTTATTTTTCTACCAAGTATAAAAGAAATCGAGTCGTAGACCCCCCTTTTATTGTTTACTTTCTGATTAGTGGCTTTTAACCTTTCTAATCCATACAATATTAACCTTCTACTATCACCCAGATGCTAAGGTAATTTCATAAAAACTAAGATTTGGCTTCAAATTTTATGGATGCAGCAACTGATACTTAGGAAAACTGAAGGGTATCACATCGCTTTTTAGCTAATTACACTTTATGGTCAAAACACATAAAAGGATATTGATTTCTGGTTCATGAATACCATCGCATCAGGGAATTATCTGTGGCCGAACAACGGCATGAATATATGAAATATTGACAAGATCTGCTTACTCAGATTTCCTCCTGGGTTCCTCATAGGGGGTTCCTAAAATTCAAAGACATCATTTGGTCCATTTATAGGAAAATGGAACCAAGTGTAGAACAAATGGAATTTCTCCATACTAGAGTCAAATCAGAAAACATTTCAGCTCCAATTGATACATAGTTAAAGTAACTTTTTTTATGTGACATATTCAGACATCCACAATTTCAATCACCATGGCAATCTGTTTCATTTCCTTAGCCACTCCTTGAAAATGATCACTGGGGAAAAAAATTCTAATACATATATAATATAGTTTATGTTTGTATCCCAGAAATATATATGCAGAATTGTCCAAATGTATGACTTTAAGGCATGACAAGAGGCCTATGGGCCACAACGCTCACCTGAGTCACTGGCCCTGCTGTTTTTCATCAGATTTTCCCCCTTGTTATACCTTGATTCCCTATAATAGCCCCACTCTTCCCTTAGGGCCATGATTTAAACAATATAGAATCTTACTACCTCAAGGAGCTTCCACATAAGTTTAAGCTTTTCTGGCCCAGTGGTTCTTGAGAAGAAGATTTGTAAAGATTTTCCTACATGTTTCAATGTAAACTTTTGATTCCCTATTGTGGCCCCAACCTAACCCCAGGGGCCATGATTTGAACAATTTAGAATCTACACTACATCAGGAAGCTTCAAATAAGTTTCAGCTTTACTGGCCCAGTAGCTCTCGAGAAGTAGATTTTTTAATGACCCCTCCCTATTTTTGTCTTTTCTTGATTATCTCCCCTTGGAAGGGGACTTTGCCCTTCATTTAACCCCCCTTCTCCCAAGGATGCTTTGAACCAACTTTGGTTAACATTAGCCCAGTGTTCTTGAGAAGAAGTTGAAAATGTGAAAAGTTTACAGACGGATGGACAGACAGATGGACAACAGACAACAGATGATCAGAAAAGCTCACTTGAGCTTTCAGCTCAGGTGAGCTAAAAAGTAATCTATACTTACTGCCTACTGCAAATCTTAACAGACATACAGACTTCATGGATATTAAGGAACTCACAAATTGATACCTCCCACTCCCATATGAGTATAACTATAATGGCAAACTCTATGTTTTGCTATGGGAAACCCCAAATATCTGTTTGATCAAAACTTAAAATAGGAGCTGCACAAAGGAACTATGAAATAAAGATTCTGTGAAGTTCTGTGAAAGTCTCACTAAATTTTATGCAGTGGTATAGGAGGAGTTGCAGCTAAGAGATGGGTACCCCCAAAATTACAGAAAAATACAGTGTCCATGTTTTGCTATGGGAAACCACAAATATCTGACTGATCAAAATATAAAACAGGAGGTGCACAATGGCACTATGTAATAAAGATTCTGTGAAGTCTCATTAAATTTTATTCAGTGGTATAGGAGGATTTGCAGATAAGAGATGGCTACCCCAAAGTGTAATGGATGGACACCCCCATCACTATATAACCCCCCCCCCCCAACTTTTCAAGGGATATAAAAGAAAATTATTACTTAGGTAGCATATTTTTGAGATATATGATGTTTCTGGAAAATCATGTTTTCTTCATAATTTTTTCAGAAAACTATCAAAACTACACAGAATCAAAATAATTTAAACAAACAAAAATTATGGCCCACAAAATATATAGCTCAAACTTTGTCATTAACTGCTTAGTGTTACCATATAATAGCGCATTTGAAGCCAAACCTGAGAAGCTTCAATTTAAATGTATAGTAGCATAGACTTGAATTAGCAGACAAATCTCAGCACAAAAGGTGCAAAATTCAAATCAAAATAATTATGCATACAGTATGATTAGAAAATAGAGGGTTAGGGGGCAAAAAATATCATGCTTATTTTGATGGATAAAAACTATAGAAGCTTGGTAAAAATGTCTGACACCTCTTCAGAATAATTCCTTAAGCAGTCCTTTTGTTCTTTCTCACCTTGAAAGGTGATACATAAGTTAACGCTATACATACCATTTTATGAAGTGATATACACTTTTTATCAAACTGTTACAATTGAAACCTTTATTCTTCTCCCAAAATACTATAAGGACATTCTTACAAGTAATCAGCCTACTTAATGATAAATGGAGAATTGACATGCTTTAAGAAGCATGGTTCCAAAAGGTTACTGAAACATAGGTAATCAGAGATTACAGAGCTCACCTCAACGAATGTTGTCTTTAAGTAAGGCAAAGTCCCACACTAAACTAATAACCTAGGAATGTGCATCCCTAGATGCAACATTTATGCAATTTTGGTCTGATAGGGCTTGCAGTTACTTGGGAATAGACTTATCTGAAAACTTAAAACTAGTCACTCATTCAGAAAATGTAAGTCAAATCCAGCATCCGAAGCAAGTTTTGAGATTGTTCATCCCTTGATGCATCATCCATGCAAGTTTGGATCAGATAGGCCTTATAGTTACTTGGAAATGAGATCTACTCCAAAAAACCTTAACCTAGTCACTCATCCGGAAAATGTAGGTCAGATCCAGCATCCAAAGCAAGTTCAGTAGTGTGCATCCTTAGATGTATCATCCATGCAAGTTTGGTCAATATACTGTAGATTCCTAAATATACGCGAGGAATAAATTATCGCGTAATTACGCGAGAAGCACCGCTCGCAAAATATGGTGCTTTAATGTATGTAAAATCTCTAGATAAATCAACCATTCGCAAATTATTATTCTCGCGATTTGACGCCCTTGGGTCATTTCGCCATAATAAGTACTCGCGTAAAATAAGGAATCTACAAAAACTTTAACCTGCTCCAAAAACATTAACCTGGTCATTCTTTAGCTGAAATTGCAGCATCTGAAACCTTGACTGGTACAATGAAACACACTAGAAGCATCCTCCATGCATCTCTGACTAATATAGGCCATAGAAGTACTTGAAAAGAAAACTGCTCCAAAAACCTTAACCTAGGACACTGACGCCGATGCCGAGGGTATTACATAAGCTCCCCCAACTTCGTTGAGGTGAGCTAAAAATGGGGGAAAAAAAGTGTTCCTGACTTTAACTCGAGACACAAAAAAGAGGACAGGACTCAAAACTTGTCATCACTTTCACTTTACTTTCTGTTGGAAGATGAGATTTAATCTATGTTGTCCATTATGGACCCATCTAAATACCTCCTGATTTGTTCAACTATTTATACCAATTTTGACTTCAATTTAATATGTTACAGAAGAAACATGTCAATACATGATCTATTTTGTATATTACATTTCTTGAGGTAACCCTAAATCTATCCCGACAACCAGACTTTCTTTACTTGGTTGCACGATTGGCCAGTCCAAATTAAGAGCAAGAGGGTCAAATCCTATATGGGGGTCAAATTCTTACCTTCTCCCAGTCCCTGCTTTGACAGCATCTCTGTTAAAATTTGTGTTTGCCAGTGAAAAATCTTCAGCATTGGTACACAAAAGTCGGGGAAACACGGAGTGTCTTTCCACTCTCTCTAAATCATCGTAAGTGTTACCATACATAAAACCGTTCATTAATGTCGAGTGTGCATGTAAGTCTATGAAAAAGTCAATTGAATGTTTCTGAAAGCAAATTAAAAACATCAGAATTACTTTTAACATACATTATATTTTATACATAATACATCAAAGGACATACACTTCAGTATCTATATAAACTGTGAATACAACGCAAAATATGACTTTCTGTCAGAGTACATTTATCATGCTTATGTATGATGTACAACATTGAAATTTCTCCTTTTTTAAGAGTGGTATACTGATCTTACACTGCGATCTAGTTCCATCAGGAGATTTTTGGTAGCATATAATGTTGGATGTGCCCACGGTGACGGTTCACTCCAATGTCGATTCAAATCAAAACCCATTAATGAACATCTGAAATCAGATTTAAATACAGCTGAACTTCTTCAGTATCTCAAATACCAAGAATATGTCAAAGTAAGTTTGAAGTCCCAAACACTCTCTTCAAGTTTTTTAGCCTGAATATCTAGATTTGAAATTTTTTCTCAGCCCAGTGAAGTGGGAGATAGAGAACTCTGACTGTGAATTATACATACCCTTGTTTTCATTATAGAGAATTTTGACTGTGAATTATACATACCCTTGTTTTCATTATACACAGAGTTGTTTTCCAAACACAATTATGAGCAAAAGTTCTAGGTTCAATGGCCCCTCTTTTATTTTTTATCCTATGGTAATTAAAGTACCGTAAAGCGGGAATTTTTAGAGGGGTGCTAACTTTGGCTTATTTTAGTGGTGTTGAAGTGGGCCGCTAAAATTTTAATCGCTAAATTTGCACCCTTGCATATAAGTACTGTATACAAGAAAAATAACCTTGGCCAGTCGTTTGTTAAAAATACATCTTTCACCTAGTATTGCTTTTACTCAAACTCTTGCCTAAATCTGTTTTCAAATGTACATTAAACGTACTGAAAACTCATCTAGAAGACGAATCTCCTCTCTTTTGCAATGTCTCGGAACTCTGTGTCCGCCAAAAAAAGTTCCGCTAAAATTATTGGCATACCTTTGAGCAAGCAAAACACCAAATTTTAAACCCACTAAAGAGAACCGCTTTACAGTAATTAACACTTATGCAAGACAACAGAGAAAATGGACATCAAGTTTTCATTTTAAGTCACCTTAGTACTATGATTTCAAAAAAAAGAAATCTTGATCTGTTCTACACACAATATGGCATATATGTATATGAAACATACCTGTAATTTCCTAAATAAACACCATCTGGATTTAGCATTGGGACTATTTTGAATACCACATGTTCTCGCAGGATTTTGGCTATTGGATGATTGCTGATTAGAAAATCTATAAATCCTGCAAAAAAATTTAAATTCATTTACCAGTTTGAATTAAAAAATATGATTGCTAAAATTTATGCAAACATGTCTGTAATTTCTGACAAAATTTGAATCAAGAAAACAGTGTACTCCGCTTAGAAGTAAAAATTCTGCATTATTTCTTTCTGTGATGTGATGAAATATATAATAAAAAAGTAGTTCTTTGTTTAAATCTTATTTCCAAAATAAGAAAGATAAGAGCTGTTACAATAATAGAGTTACCTTGACAGCAGTATGAGGCTGGGGTTTCCCCAGGGTGAACACGAGCCGATATAAACACAATGCGGTTGGTTTCCTCTGCTTCCAGATTGTCAGGATGAGTGATTGTAATCAAATCTAGTCTTCTTTGTTGCTGTTCAAAGAAATGATATCCAAATCTTGGTCTTGTCCTCTAAAGGCCAAATATTTTGTTTCCAAATCAAAATTAAAATAAAAAAAAAAATTTGCAGCAGATGCTCTTACCACAGTTAAACACAACAGCTCTCGCTGGAAAAAGTCCATTCCTTTCTTTTCAAGGTTATCTAGATAATTCTGCAAACGGGTGTAGGAATACGGATAACAGTAGGCAAATTGGTAAACATCGTCTTCACGGTCAAAACAGAATGAAAATGACATGACGTAATTTTTTCTGTGGTCTGGACATCTGTAGTAATACACGTGCTTTGCAGGTATCCTTGTCCTATTCCAAATAATACATCAAAATTCAGTCAATATGTAACCAGAGGCTCTTCAGACAAATTGTAAAACAAAAACAAATGACTTCAGTTTTTTCTATTTTTTTATAATCTATTACTTAAAGATATATTTCGATACAAGGCTTAATTGACCCTATTGGTACAGGATCTTGTATCTTTAACATGGGGAATTTTAAACTGAAATAGTGGCAAAGTGGGGAAATACTGACAAAATAGATCGTTTCATTATGAGATGAAGACAATTTAAAATGTATGCTGTCTTTCCTTTGTGAACTATTATATACATGTAATCTTAAAATTCAGATTTCTGATAAATATCACTGAAAAATTCACTTTGCTTGTCTATGGGGAACTACAACCTAATTTTTTTGAGGGGGGGTACGTTTTCAATTGGGACTGGGTCCATTTACTGGGCCTGCATGCAACAAATATTGAATCCTGTGATATTCTATGGACTAAGTCAAAAACAAACTTTCATTTTCTCTAGTCTCAAAAAATAAACTAAACCACAGACCATTCATTACTTACCATTTCTGTCTGCTTGTTGATTTCAGCAAGGGTGACATCCCCTCTCTATACAAGGATTTAGTTTTACTGAAGTTGACAATATTGAATATAACTCTCTGAAAAAGAAAAAAAATCAAATTCAGAAAAAAAAAAGCTTAATCACTTTTGCAAATGCGGCCATACTCTACGTGACTCACTAAGAACAGTGAACAGCTACCTGCAATGCAACTGACACGACATCTCATCAAATACAGCTGACTTAATAAATGGAGTTATGTTACCTGCCTAGACTGATGACAACAAAGTCATTGCACTCAAGGTTATAATGGGTATATATGTACCTAAGAATCAAAATTGTTGTACACAGATAAAACATAAATTTTAAGAATTGCTTTCTCCCCCCCCCCCCCCCCCCCCCAATCAAACTGAAGCAGCACCTCATTTGTCAAAGACTGTATTTAATTCTTCATTTTTTTTTTATTTCTGGCATTGCTCTGGGATGACAAGATGTACATTTATAAGAAACATCAGATTACAGCATATATTTACAGTTGCCCTACATAAATATCATAGGATAATATATATATGGAACTTTCCCAGCTCATACTACAGTCCCTCTGCACAGTAATATCGCTGATGACAATATGTGTCTGTATTGCTTCTGAATCAAATTGAATGAATTGGCATCAATATAAGCCATTAGTATTGGCATTAATATTGCTGATAAAAATGATGTGCAACTAATTTGTATGGAGGAAAGGTTTCTGAAATATAGATAGAGAGCATCCATGTCATGTTTCTACCAATCATCAAATGTTTGAACCAAAGATAAGGTATTGCATCCAAATTCTGGGGGAAAATTGAACAGAAGCAACATATCTACACCAAATACATGACAAAAAGCCTGTAGGCCACAAGGCTCACATGAGCAACTATGGCCTTGCTGTTCTTCATTATTATATACATGCATCATTATAGACTTGTTAATTTTGAACCTTTAATAAGTGTCTTTGAAATATTTTGTATGTTCGACAATCACTATAATTATAATTGTTGTATATATTACAGGGAAAGGTTTTTCTAAGTTGTAAGAACTTGTTACCAATTCCTTTTGTATTAATTATACAATAAAATATGTTCAAAACAATTGGCAGATCCCCCCATATATTCCTTTGTATAGTTGAGAATCTACATTATCTGAGGACGCTTCCACATAAATATGGCTAATCATGGCCTTGCTGTTCTTGAGAATTTATATATATATATAGGGTATATATTCCTATGTAAAACTGTGATCGGCCATTGTGGCCCTACCCTACCCCAAGGGGTCATGAATTGAAAAAGTTGAATATACACTATGAATCCCCTTCCTCAAAGAATGCTCTGTGCCAAGTCTGGCTGAAGAAGAAGAAATTGTGAAAAATTTACAACAACGACAAAGCCCATGACAAAGACAACAATGACACTGCTTAAAACAACAGAAAAAAATTTATCAGAAAAGCTCACTTGAGCCTTCAGCTACTGGCAAACATTTACGAGCTATGACCTGTTAGTGAAACGGTCACCAGAAGTATATATATGAAATGTTGTACAAAAGGAATAAATTTTAAGTTTATTACAAAGAACGATAACTCTTCATGCTAAGGTGTTTTATGTTCAGACAAAGCAAAATTTCTGTAAAAGTGTATCTATTTCAAGATCGATTTCAGCTCTTAAAATAAATTTTAAGAACTTAAGAAATGTAAGAAAAACATTCTTAAGTTAAAATCAATATAAAAACATTCTGTTTTTTTTCATAAAAGTGTTAATTTTAATAATTTTTCTCAGAGAGTTTCAATACTTTGAACGATGATGTCACAACTGCATCAAAACAAAAATTTACAAGAGTTTGAAGATGGCATGGTTTGTATCCAGATAACTGTGGTCAAGAAGCAAATACCATATATATTGTATGTGATTTATTGGAGATTAGGTGGATTATTCAGGTCTACTGAACAGGATGTACAGACAGACGGCTAGTAAAGTGATCCCTAAGTGCCCCTCTGCTCTGCAGGTGACACAAAAATTAAAGTTAAGATCAAATAGTTGAAAAAACAAGAGGCCCTGCACCACAATAAAGGGCCACAATGCTCACCTGAGTCACTATTGCCTTGCTGTTCTTCATCAGAAGATTTTTTTTCCCTATATGGGTACATACCTCTTATTATGATTAGAATCGGTAGGGGAAGAAAGTAGTTCACTAAAACGAAATAGGTCCTTAACTTTCAAGCAGTATATAAAATAAGTAGGTCATCTGAACTATAGATGCTTGATATACATGAAAGAAGAGAAAATTCCACATTCAAAACCATTTTCATTTTTGTGTTAACTTTGAAAGGAAAGGAATTGAATTGTTTGATATTTGCATACCCTGACTTTGGGAATTACCCTACTTTTACTTTCATTTTTAGATGTTTTTACGAACATGTGCATTTTGCTGGAAAACAAATCTGACATGCCACCTCGAGATTTTAACCAATGAGAGAGAATTTGACAAGCTTTCATTTGAGGGGTGTCCCATCCTTCAACGAAAATTAGGGGAGGAGCTGTGTGAGAAAACATTAACATTGTCGCCTATGGGAAATGTATTAGTGGGCTGTACATACCCATATATTCCTACTTTGATCACATATTGTGGCCCCACCCAACCCCCCAGGAGACATGACTTCAAGAAGCTTGCATGAATCTACACCACCTGATGATGCTTTCATATAAATATGACTTTTCAAGGCTTTGCTGTTCTTGAGAAGATTTTTAAAGATTTTTTCTATGCATTCCTTAAAATTTTTAAAAACATATTGCGGCACCAAACCATCCTCAGGGGTCATGATTTGAACAAATTTGAATATATACTAATTGAGGATGTTTCCATATGAACATGAAAATCATTGCTTTCCTGTTCCTGAGAAGAACATTTTTAAAGATCCCCCCCCCCCCAGGTCATTATCTCAAAAAACTTAAATCTACACTATGTTATGAAGCTTCATACAAGTTTCATCTCTTCTGGCCCAGTCGTTCTTGAGTAGAAGATGCATTATAATTTAATTAATTCTTAATAATCTCCCCTTGGAAGATGTTTTGGTCCTTAATTTAATTTTTAAAAAATTGAATCATCTTTACCCAAAGATGCTTTGTGGCAAGTTTGTTTGAAATTGGCCTAGTTGTTCTTGAGAAGAAGTCAAAAATGTGAAAAGTTTACAGACAACACACAACAGAGGGAAGTTGAACACCTTTCGGTTAGAAAAGCTCACATGAGCATTCAGCTCAGGTGAGCTAAAAAAATTGAGAACATTTGGAGAAGCTGAGAAATAAGTGGATAACCTGGTCCTGTTTGACATTCTCCACTGTAAAATTGAACCACACTCTGAAGCGTGGATTGCAAGTGTCTGGTCTGATGAAAAGGTCATATTCATATTCTGTAATATAGTCCACTCTTCCAAGATTACCTATAAAAGATAAAATTTACATTTTCATGTAAATATATATATATATATATTAGGGATGGCAATCGAATACAGAATTGCTAATCGGTTACCCGCAAGACGTTCCGACCTATTAACCGGTTAATTGTATCAAACTAAACATTTTCTTGACTTTTTTTTCAAGTAGCTCTATTCCTACGCACAAGATGACTTTAAAAAAATGATGTAAGAAGTTAAAAACATTCTATTTGTCTTTATTTTTGGTCAGAAAACTACATGCATATATTTTTATTTCAATACACAAGAAAAAAATCAGAAAAACCATGAAACGCGCCTGAAAAATCGTGGATAATTTTCCAGAGTGGATGTCACACAAGTTCATTCTTCATTGTCACCATAATCAAATTTACAATGTTTGTTGAATAATTTAATTTAACAGATAACAGAATGAACTTGTGTGACATAAAATTCATTTTCAAAAAAGAAGTTCCTGCTTTAACTGCAAAAGATACACACACCAATTCAAAGTGCTCAACGGTGATTATCATTATTAAAGAATTACAAGACAGTTGGAGTAACGACATGGTGTTTTAACAGTAATTTACACATCATAGACTAACCAATTACCCCACTATTTTAATCCGGAGAGCCATAATTACTTCCAAATCAGCTTAAATAAATATGTGAAAACGCTAAATTATTAACGTTAAAGCAGGAACTTCTTTTTTGAAAATGAATTTTAAGAAGATTAATGTTGCGTTTAATTTTACATATATTTTAATTTTTTTTTTGACTAACCGATTACAGATTTTCTAACCGATTGCCATCGTTTCGACCGAGTAATCGGTTAACCGGTTAGAAATTGCCATCCTTAATATATATATAAATATACATATACGTTTCTACTTTTTTAATGTCCTCTGCTATTTCAATTCTTAGGGACAACCCTGTAAAGATATATAAATACTGAAATTCTATTATTGTTTTTTTTTTTTTTCACAGGTCAAAAACATAGGTAATCAGAGATTGCAGAGCTCACCTCATCGAATGTTGTCTTTAAGTAATTTAAGGCAAAGTCCCACACTAAACTAATAATCTAGTAGTGTGCATCCCTAGATGCAACATTTATGCAATTTTGGTCTGATAGGACTTGCAGTTACTTGAGAATGGACTTATCTAAAACTTTAACCTGGTCACTCATCCAGAAAATGTAAGTCAAATCCAGCATCCGAAGCAAATTCAGTAGTGTGCATCCTTAGATGTATCATCCATGCTAGTTTGGTCAATATAGGGCTTATAGTTACTTGGAAATGAGATCTGCTCCAAAAACTTAACCCTGTCACTCATCCAGAAAATGTAGGTCAGACCCAGCATCCGAAGCAAGTCCAGTAGTGTGCATCCTTCGATGTACCATCCATGCAAGTTTGGTCAATATTGGGCTTATACTTTTACCTGGTCACTCATCCAGAAAATAAAGGTAAGATCCAGCATATGAGGAAGTCCAGAAGCGCATCATCCATGCAAGTTTGGTCAATATAGGGATTATAGTTATGTGAAAATGAGATCTGCTCCAAAAACTTTAACCTGGTCACTCATCCGGACAATATAGGTCAGATCCAGCATCCGAAGCAAGTCCAGTAGTGTGCATCCTTACATGTATCATCCATGCAAGTTTGGTTAATATAGGGCTTATAGTTACTTGGAAATGAGACCTGCTCCAAAAACTTTAACCTGCACCAAAAACTTTAATCTGCTCCAAAAACATTAACCTGGTCATTCTTTAGCTGAAATCGCAGCATCTGAAACCTTGACTGGTAGAATGAAACACACTAGAAGCATCCTCCATGCATCTCTGATTAATATAGGACAAAGAAGTACTTACCTGGGACGCCAACGTCGAGGGTATTACATAAGCACCCCCAACTTTGTTGAGGTGAGCTAAAAAGAAGCCCCTGAACCCTGATGCAAGTTTGGCTAATGCAATGGAGAATACCATTAAATCATAGGCATGTGTAACCGGAGTTTTTATTATTCTGATTTTAAAAAAAAAATGATTCTCAAGTTAAGTTTTAATAAAAAAAAAATTAAAAAGTTATAATGATATCTGATTTGGTCACAGTAAGGAAAGAATAAGGTGGGAATATAATAAAGAATAACTCCTTTTTCACTTACCACATTCAAAACAGGCATCAAAAATTAGATGTCCTTTCTTTGGTCTGCCTGTGTAACCTGGTGGAACAACAGCAAATTTGTTGACATTCCCAACAACTGGTTCATCTGTACTATCTGTTTCACTGCCTGTGATTTGGAGGGAACAAAGACTATTTTGTATAAATTTATACACACATGGCTTCGGTTTCCACAACAGAGAAATGAAATGGTTTCACTGCTGCATAAATAGCATAGAAACAACAGTACATTTACTGTAACAGGATGAAAGAATCAGATTTTTAGATATAAAACTACAAGTTTCATGAATATTCCATGCTAAATAAAAAAAAAATATTCAGTTAATCATTAATTATTGTTCATTTCTGCTCTGAATGTTGTATACACTTTGGAACTGAACATATTTCAACAGAAATCAACATAGTAAAAAAAAAAAAATAATAAAGTACTGTGAAATTGCAGATTGAGTTTAATTTCGACATTCATGTACAGTATAAATACATGCATATTCAGCTGTTCAGATAAGTTAAAATTAGTGGTTTAATTTTTTTAACTGATGTAGGATACATATAAAGTCATATCATGAATGTTTCTTTCTTTTTCTTTTCTTTTTTGCTTAGTTAAGTACTACAGGTTAACTATATTGCAATGTTCAGTAAAAACATAATTTTATATCCAGCATTGCATATTACTAATATTATTAGACTAGCAGTGTCCTTGTTGCATGCATGAAACAAGGGCACATTAGCTGCATGTGCCATGAACCCAATTCGTAAAGTTTTAGAGGGATCAATTAATTAAATTAAATCCAGTTAGATGTACAACATAGCTTCAAAAATGAAAAAAATTAGCAGTATCATGCAACTAAGCAACTGTAAACAAACCAGAGTCGCCTTTCTTGTCCGCCATGTTCCCAAGATTCTTACAGTAAATTTATTATTCTCAGGTTAAAGGTCAGAAACAGAATTTTATACAGCTTTGTAACTTTCCCGTGCGTATTCATGGGAAATTTAGCTATTGTCGGTGAAAGAAAAAAATAATTACTTTTTTAAATAAACTTCCATTCAAAATACAACGTATTCATTAATAAAAGAACACATACAACTTGTATATATTTATTTCAAAGCATGCACCAGACTAATGTCACCTAATTTGCATAAAATGAATCCGACAAAAAAATAGTTTTTATTTATTTTATAAAACAACTATTGAATGCGGTCTTATTTCGACTCAATTCTTCTCAATTCAAAATAAATAGCCTAATTTACTAAAACTTTTATTCTTCATATGACATTACATAAAATATATGATAATTATTCTGTGACGTATCACTTAATTAACTATATATTCCTACGTTTATTTTCTTTCTCATCAATAGTAGGATTCAGTTTGTGTGGAAGCAGCGTTCCTAAATTCCTTTACCATATTTATTTCATTTAAACATTATTTTGAAATAAGTTCCATTCTTATCGCCAGGAAAATTCAAACGTATAGGAATAAGCGTTTTACACCAGGCTTCGCCATTTTAACGAAGAGATACCGTTCAACATCATCAACATTGATCTTGATGGATTTTGTGCGAGCTGTGTTTTAGTGGTTCTTGTGGATATTGTTTGAATTAACAAGAAAATTGTTTAAGGTAAGATTAATGCCATGCTGAGTATAAATAATTGTATTATTTTTTTTTAAAAGAAGCAATAACAGGTTTCATAATCTAACTGCTTATTTATTGAATATGGATGGATGATCATGAAGTAGACATTAGATGATCATGGATGCTCGTTGGAAAGCACATTTTGGAATGTGTCTGGAATTTCACGATATCGATATCGCTGAGTTTATGAAGGTCAGATAAAATAAAACGTGTAGTTTGCATTTTATGGAAAGAAATGAATATTTAACTGGGTTAGCATTGTCGTTGTAGCTGATGCCATACACACGACAGTAGAAACCGGCACGTGCCCAATATATTTTAAGATTGTAAGATCTAGGCCTAGTCAAAATATGTCTCAAAAATTGCAAAGCACTGTGGTGAAGTATTAGTTCATTGATAACAAGTTCATGTATATTTAAGTATTCTGTGTTTGAATTAAAATATCACCTTTCCTGTAGCTACTGTCTCTAGTTCGTCACGGTGACATGTCGCTCGTGCCGTTAGCCTCGTCTAGCAATCTGATTGGTTAACGGGACCATCTGGAGGTGTTGACAAAGAATTTCCTCTGGGACACTATCGATCTTAACTGTTTAGACTCGTTTCAATATAAATTCTTTGTGCTTCCGAAACAAATTCACTAGTGTCGGTTGTCACAAAGAATGGTGGAAAACAGTTTGTGGAAAAGGTTGCCAAAATTTTTTTTACTTTTTTCCTGTTTTTTATTTTTTACAATATAGAACAGTTTTATTGCGTTATAAATTCTGGTTAATTTTTTTTTTTCAAATGATTTTATTTTTATCTGTTTGATTTGTTTTCAGTTTCAACTAAAGTTAGAGCAGGAAAATTCAAACAGAATGATTTCATTTCCAAACTTGATGACTTTGCCCCAGCAACAAAAACTAGTAAGTTTTGAAAAATATATTTTATAATTTGATTGTTTTAGTTTTACACTTTGACATATTATTCTTTTAATTCTTTGTTTGTATTTAAATTACAGATGATTTATTGGCATACTTAATGACTAACTTACAGATCATAAATTTAAACAAAAAGAAAAAAAGAAGTGGTTTGTTTGAAAGACAAGTGAATTAAAAAATAAAAATAAGTTTACATCATTTACATTAATAATTTTTGCCAAAAAAATTATCCAAGTTGAAAAATTCTGTCTTTGAGTTTAGGGCAGCAAAACATTTGTTGTATATTTTTTTAACCAGAGTTGATAAGATTTGCTAGTTCAGCACCAATGGCACAAACTGTAAAATGTTTGGGGGGTTTTGGTACAAGATATGGATATCAGATAATATGTCTATCAGTTTATTATACTCTGTGTTGAAAGAAAAGCATCTTGCATAGTTGAATGGAACAGCTGTTGTGCTGAGGAGTGGGTGATGCAAGGCAAATTAAATTCATGTTTTTGTTAGCAGAGCTATATTATTTGACACACTATCCTCTTATTCTTTTGTAGAAGTTTTGAAAGAAAAATGATAAAAATAATTAACTTGTTTATTGTTCGGTTTTTGAATTTGATTTCTTTTGGAATCTAAATTGCAGAACAAAGAACATATAATTTTTAAGTATAAAATTTTTATTTTAAGATATGGAATTTTTTTTTTCAAAGTCTTTCCCTATCCAAATGTGTGGAAACATTTCTAAAATCTATTATGATTACTTAGATTCTTTATTTTTTAAAGGTAAAAAAAAGGACAATATATTGACAGGGAGAGATTTGTTTTTAAAAAAAATCATATGTAATACCTGATATGAGAGGTCATTCAAGTGATTTATAATGGGTCAAATTAGAATTTAATATGTTTTCAAAGATTTATGCCTGCCTGTGGAATTTTGAATTCTGAAACCAATCACTAGGTTTATATCTCCCCCTTTGAAATGTGTAAATGCTTTGTTTGACTATCAGGTACTAATGTAAATTCCAAGATTTCATTAATATGAAAAAAAAATTTTGAACAACCAAGGTTCAGAAGGAGCCTTAAGATAGTTAAATAACCACAAATTCTCAAAATAGAGCAGATGATAAATTTTCCTATATAATACCTTTTATGCTAGGGTAAAAAGACAGCTGTTGCTATATAATGGGGATAATTGTTTTTAACTTTGTGAGGAAAGAAGTGGGTGACATATTGAGTTGATGGCCCGGTTGAACATTTAGGGATTTAAATGTGTATATATGTAGTTGCACCTTCTGTTTATAATGAAAGATAAGCATCAAACCACAAAGGACTTGCTCCTGGTGTGTAAAATAATATTTATTAGTAAGAAATATATATAATATTATATATACAAACTATATAAACAACATGTGTTTTTAAGTAGTTTTTTTTTTAATAAATATTTTTTACACACCAGGAGCAAGTCCCTGAGATCAGTCTGAAACAGATTGAATGTAATATTCTTGATAGTTCATCATTGTCAATTTTGTACACAAAAAGTCTTGCATTTATAATCTATTCGGTAGGTCATATTATTTAACCAATGAACCCCCTGAATTATAATTAAAAGTTTTAAACCTATCTAAAAGATGTATTAAATTATTTGGCCTTAGTGTTAGTTGTTTTTTTTTTTTTTAATTAAACATTTTCTTTTCAGATTTTTTGTTACAGATTAATTATTTTGTAAAAGAATCAAAGGTTTATAATTTAAGGCAAATCTGACTTTTAAGGATAATATACCGACAAACTTCCATAAAACACTAAGCAATACTTAATAGCAACTTTTCTCATTCTAGATATCCCAACCCCTGCCAGATCTGCAGTCCCTGGATCATCACCCGATCCCAAGTCTGCATCAGAATGGGGGCACCACCTCACCATCCTCCACAGGGTCACAAAATGATGATCGGCCAAGCAACACAAACCTCATTGTCAATTATCTACCCCAAACGATGACCCAAGAAGAAATCCGTGCTCTCTTCTCCAGCATAGGTGAAGTTGAGAGTTGTAAACTGATCCGAGACAAACCTACTGGTAGGTTCTCACCGTACGAAGTGCCAAGCCACTTGACCACAGCGAGTAAGGATTTGTGTGCAATTTTTATTTCTCAGCTCTAGATGCTCCCATGCTGAATAGAATGTTTCTGGAAAACTGAAGGAAAAATATGTCAAAATTTTTGCAAAGATATTTTATGAAAATTGCTTCAAAATTTTCAACACGCAAAAGTGGTCATTTGAGTCAAATTTATGTTTGTGACTTTTTAAAAATATTTTTTCTTTTACTTTTTTGGTCTTTTTATTTTATTTTCTTAAGGCTTTATTATTTTTATTATTTCTGTTTTTTAAATTTTTTTTCTGGTTTTGTAGAATTTTTCCTGAAATTTTCTTGTCAATTTTTTTTTAAATTTTATTTTCAGTTTTTGTTCTAATTTATGTTTCATATTCTGTGTATGGGTATATATATGACATGTTCTAGAACTATGGTAGTTCATTTACACCAAAACGTCTCTTTATTAATGTTGTTGTGTGTATGTATTATAAATAACTTTTGGTTGGAACAAAAGAGTATTGTGGACAGTTCTCTCGATCATCCATTCTGCATGAGCAACTGGAGTTATTTGTAGACTGTGTGATTGTTTTTTCTCTCCTGGCTTTTATACTTTATTCTTATGTGTTTAAATTCTGTACTTCTGCTGTCTCTCTTGCAATACACTCTCTGCCTTTAATTGTTTTATTGCACTTAGAACCCCACAAAGCTTTCATTATTATGATTTGTCATATTCAAACATAAGCCACATGTATTCTGATAACTTGCAGTGGTTATGGTGGTGGTCATATGGTACCTTTAATGTATTTTACATTTAGAATATATATAATGAAATAAATTTATATTATGTGTCCATAAGATTACATGACAATATCAGTAGCCTTATAAGAAGTTCCTTGTGTCAAGCTGGTCTAACTTTGATGTTTTTTGTTATGTCAAATTTTATATGCACACGTTCTCTACAAGAAAGATCCAAACGGAAGAAACACCCCGTCATTTTAATGAATTTACGTCCCAAACCTAGTTTCTTACACTTTATATCCATACAAAGCTTACAGTACTTTTGATGATAGATGAAATTGAATTACAGGTTGTTGATTAAGTAATGAAGATCTATATCCAAAAGTAATTGGCTGACATTTCTCCCACCATCTAGTCTCAATTAGTTTTTAATTCAATATTCTACCCACGATACAAATGTAATATATAGGATTTCTGGATCTGTGACAAAAACTGTAACGGTACTTTTTTTTAGTCCACCTATCTT